TTAATCATATTAATTCAAATAGTGGGTAACAGGTGGAGAAATAGAGAATATTGTGTGAAAACCCAAGAAGGTCACTGAATCCTAGTGATGAATGTGGCGAGGACATGCATACTTAAACAATCAATGATAAACCCAGATTGGCAATGATTGAGTTGCAAAATAAGGACAATCATAAGAATTCAAATTCAGAAATAAAGAAAATTGCTTCTAATAGGAGTTTTGTTGTAAAAGCTACCAGAGGCGACTCGAAGAAGCCTAATAGGCTAACTTGTTTCTTTGATAGGTAATGTTGTGTTTATGAATAACATTGTAAGCTATGATAGAGCAATGTAATGCCCTTAGAAGGAGTTTTAAATGGAGCAGTATGTATGCCTTTATGAATTTCTATCTTTTCATAAACAATTTTAGGCAAGGATGCAATGTTGATTCAAAGAATGATGCCAGCAATTTGCAAAAGGTTGCAACCGTTGAAAGCGATTCAAGGCCTTTTTTCTTTAAATACAATGAGGTAAGTGCTGATGTTGCCTCCATTATCAACAGCTCAGTTTTTTCGTCAATGCGATGACTTTGTGTGATGTTGGGTACTTTTTCAACAAAATGACAAAGCATTTTAGTTAACAAAATTCTAGCACAGTGAAATCCAGCTTCAACTTAATTTTATTTGTTGAGATTTGTATCGAATGTGGGGCTCTAGTTGTAAATAGAAGAAATCTAGAAGTTTTTTTTTTTAAATATTGTGTGGCTCTATATAAGCCTAAATATTAATGAAATGAGGAAGTTTTTAATTGCAAAATCATTTTCAATTCCATTGCTTGCCTGCAAAGCAGTTTCTTTATAATATTGAAGAATTTATTCAGTTAGTTTTTTTAAAATGTGGCTTTTATTGGGTTTCACCAATGCTGTGAAGAGATGGGTGAAATTTGGTGATCTGTTATTATGATGCAATATTTATGAATATAACTCATTTCTTCTTTTTCAGGTGATTGGGTGATATTCACAATTTTTTCTTCTATGTATGCCAAAGGAAACTTATATCTCGGAACTTCGACTTGATTTTGTAAATTGTGCAAGTAAGAGATTTCATGTTTTCTTGGTTTTGAAAATTTTAGATAATAAATGAGAGCATGATTAGTTTAATCAAATTATGAAAATACTTACTCATTTGAAATTTCCTTAAAATTTGTCATTCCCAAACATGCAAGTTGCCACATAAACATGTAAATATTCATTTTATATTAAAATAAGGAATATTGAACTGTAATAATAACAATTGTATTTTTGCAAACCAATAATTATTAGAATAATATTGGAAGACATGCAAAAATATTTTCCAAAGAGGATTTTTGTATCTTCATTTAGGATATAAATTAAATGGTTATAATTTATATTTGAAATTTATAGAGTTTTAAGGAAAAGTTTTTTTTCTTAAATTTTTTTTAATATTTGTATAACATTTGCAAATAAATATAGTTATATCCATCTGAAATTTAATTTAAACTTTATTTGATTCTAATAAAGTATATAACCGAAGTTTTTCAAATGTTTTTCCATTAATTAAAGATAGTGCAATAAATAAAAATTTCATTATATCATTTATTATTTACAAAAATGATCAATTTAATTTTAAATACGATGAAGCTTTTATTTTAATTAATTATTACATCTTTAAATATATAATATTTTTTGATTGATTGTCAGCTTCTATGAAAACTGCTCCACATGAGACTCGTGATATTGCTTTTCTTAGTTTTAAATTAGTATATTGTATTAAATTTAAATTATTGCACATTTTTCTATCATGTTTGTCATGACAATGCATTTCTAGTGCCTTTATATCAGACACTTAAATTTTCATATTTGCGTTTTTATCACTTAAGTTTTTGATATCACTTAAAAATGTTATTGCTATTTATTTTATTTGATATAAAATATATTTTTTCAAGCATAAATTTATAATAAAAAAATATAATAAGTGTAAAAATAAAAATTTTGATTTTAGAAGTGTAAATATATGAAAATTTTATGGTATGTATATAAACATCCCATAATTTAATTATTAGGAGATAATGCATTTCTATCATCTTATTTAGGGGCAGAACTAGTAGTTAAATTGACTATCTAGACCTAATGTAAGAGGGTTACAATGAAAAATAAAATGATATTTTAGGAGGGACGAATGACTAAATTATTCTCTCATATACAAAAAAATATAAATTTGAGAGAGGCAATTGCATCTGCTACCCTTGACCTACTTATGTTTTAATATATAAACCATCTAAATTTTAATTTTTACATATAAATCAACCAATTAACACAAACTAAATAGTATGTAAAAATAAAAATTCAGATCATTAATATATTAATACATATAAATTTTTGTAATTATTAATATTGGGCATTGCCTCTAATCTTCCTAGAACAAACTCGTGGGTGCAGTTCTACAAATATGAGCCACACCACACCGCCCCCACTCCCAAACCCCCACTTCATTCCACACTCTTGGCTGGGCTGGTGGCATTTCTACCTTTGTCCTTCGGGACTGCCGCAACTCATTCACCGTTAAACCGCCCCTCTAAGTGATTGCTCTTCTCCTTTAGTTTTATTTATTTGACCAAGACTTGACAAAGATGTCAATAGTGTGCCAACCGAGGTTATGATGTCATATTTCGTTTGTAACTTCTATTGGTTGAGTGTGGCTTTCTGAACCGATGCAGCACGTGCTCTCGTGCGGGGTTCTATACGTTCTCTTAATTCACTACCTAAGAGGAGCTTTTCTGATGTTGAATCTAGAGATGGATTGAATTCCAATGGCTATAAGGTAGATGGCTTTACATTATTTTCATTGTTAATTTATTATTTATATGTTGTTTTTTTTCTGTATTTATATTATTTTACAGTAGAGATATGTTTTTTAATCACTTAGAAGGTTTCACTTTCCAAGCTCCTATTAAGGGAAACTTTCTTACGATCTATTGGTTATGATGTGGACTGTAGCGATTGTGCTGAGGGTTAAGGGTTGTGGTGTTTGTGTTGAGAGTTGTGTGGGTTGTGATGGTTGTGTCTTGTGGTGTGATGGTTGTGAGATGTGTGTGAAGGTGTGGTTGGTTGTGTTGTGATGTGGTGGTTATGGGTTGTGGTAGCTGTGTTGTGGGTTAGGTGGTTGAAGTTATTAAAGATACACGCCATAACACTTTGACAAACACCACTATATATAGAATGAGTAAGAGAAGGTGTTTATATATCTATCATGTAATGGTTGATTTGTTTCCTTACATAAAAATTTTACTTGAAAAGGAGTTTGACATCGTGATATGTTTGTAAATGGGGCAAAGTTTGGGTGTGTTAAGGTCAAAAAAATGACAAAAAGGTATTTATGAAATAGTAATGACAATTGAATGTGGTTGGAGGTGTTTGTGGTATCTATGTCAGTGTGTGGAGGTTGTGGTTGTCTTTTTCTTTATGTAAGTAATGATGATACTCATCGTTAAGTAAGATGTATATCTTATTTTTTACACTGTTCATCGTTAAGTAAGATGTATATCCTATTTTTTACACTGTTCTAAATTAGATTTTTGCTTCTAGGGTATTAAATATATTGTTATAACAATTCTGTTATAAACGACATTACTACACAGGGGTAGAATGAACGTTTGTCCAGAAACAGTTGTGCTGAGTTATTTTCAAACAACAACAAGCAAGAAGCTGGCTAGCTTATCCATAACAACTCTTGCGCAACAGCTTTCTGGGGCAACTGCTACGTATTAACTTATTAATAAGCTGCATCTGTCCCAAAAAAACTCTAAGGGCCTGTTTGGGGCAGCTTATTGAGAGCGGCGACGGTTTGAAAACGTCGCAATGACGTTTGAATCGTGCGTTCGCCCCAGCGTTTTCGTATCGTTGATACGTGGCAATAAGAGGAATAGTGCCTATCGTGAAAGCTCCGCCCCCTTCGCCTCCCGCGTTCACTCTGTGCGTTAGGGTGGAAAAATCCTGTCGTGCCCCTCTTCGGTCCCCCTCTCCCTTGCCGCATCACTTCAGGGATCGAAGATCCTCTCCCTCGCCGCATCGCCTCAAGGATCGCAGATTTGTGAGATCCCGCTTGGTCCCCCTTTCGCTCGCCGCATCGCCTCTCATCACCGAGATCCCGCTCGTGCGGTAGCCCTTCCCGCTCGAGATCCCGTTCAAGCATATCATCCGCACCATCCTGCGGGATCCTTCGCAGATCTGCCCCTCCCTTCTCATGAGAATCGCAGGTATACAGACCAGATGTCCCGTGAGAATCGCAGGGGACAACATCTTTCATTAGCTTTCTTTCATTAGCTTCTCATTTCGCTTCTCATTTCTAGCTGCTGATGGTTTTCATTGCTTTGTTTTGTTTCATTTCTTGTCTAACTGACCAAGTTCAACTTTCACATGCCTTCTTTTGTCTGTTGTTTACTCTGCTTGGCCTTCTTGTCTCTACAATCTCACATTAATGTGGTTTTCATTAGATTCTTTTGTCGCTTGGTTTTCATTGCTTGGTTAACGATAATGACTTTACTTTCATAATCAGATAGGGACAAAAATGTCATTTATACAGCCATAACTACCAATAACCTATTTTGGATAAGCTGCCACAAACAACAAGTCAAATTCATGTGATAATCTGCAGATTATCAAATTATCAGAATAATCTGTTTATCATAAATAATCAACAACTTGCCCAAACAAACCCTAACTCTCAGCTTTTATTTCTACAAGCGATTGTCTTTATTTTTTTGAGATAATTACATACAGAGTAATTAAAACATTGATATTTATAAATCAACACTTAGGTGGCTTTTTAAATTATTGAATCGATGCATTTATGCGTCATGTGAATTTGATGAAAATGAAAAATATGAGTTAAGATTTTATCATTCATTTTCAGTGAGAATTAATAAAAAAAAGGACAAAAGGGGATCTTGATTTGTAAATAACAATAAATGTAATATTATGTAATTGCCCCTTTCATACTTTTAGGTCAACTCGTAACAATTCCCCGCAACGCTCGTTTCCTCCCTCGGTTGGGGTTGCCTCGGCTCCGTTAAACATTTCAACTTTTCCAGATGCTAACGAGCGAGGAAACATCATCGCAGAAATGGTTATGAGGAAAGTTGGCAAATATGAGGTCGGGAGAACCATTGGAGAGGGTACCTTTGCCAAGGTTAAGTTTGCAAGAAATACCGAGACTGGAGAGGCCGTTGCCATGAAAGTCCTCGCCAAAAGCACGATCCTAAAGCATAGGATGGTTAATCAGGTTTGTACCTTTTTTTTCGCATTTTTATTTTATTAAGAGTTTAAGCTTTTTTGCATGTGCCAACTGGTCTGTAGTTTGAACTGGTTAAAACATGAAAACATATCCTTCTATGTCAGGGGACATCTGTTGGTGTTTTTGGGAGTTCTGAAATCTTTTAATTCGAAAGAAAAACTTAATTTTTTTTGATATCCTTATGAACTGTTTCCTCTTAATAACCTGATTATTCTCACAATTTTTTTTTTCAACGAACTTTGCGGGATATGTCAGGTTTCTCTTTCTCTACCAGTCTCTCTCCCTCTCTCTCTCTCTCATCCCTATACGTAAATCAAACTCGAATCTACAATAATTTGTACCAGTTACGATTCAAGTCCATTCATTTAAACGATAAAAACATAATTAAGTAATCATCACTGATCTTCCTCTCCTTTGCCCACATATTCTTCATCTCCATTACGTAGAATTCTCATCTTCTTCCTCTATCCCATCATCTTCCTTTTTCTATTGGATAGCAATTGAAACTAGTACATATGACTTATAGTTGTCCTTGATGTTGATGAACTATCTTTTTTGTTTTTGTTTTTGCTGGCTAAATCTCAAAGAATTTGTGATCAAACGCTTGCCTCTTCAATTTGTCTTCACATGTAGCCATCATAACTAGAACATTCCTCTCTAGCTTCCTCCATTTAATTAACCAATCACAACTCTCTTTAATGTGAAAATGAGAACATCTATTGAGATCAATCTACATTCTACAACTTGATTATATTTGTTGAACGCATGGTCCTTAAATTTTGTTAAAACCCATTTCTCCTCTTATCCAAATTTGCGAAGTTGTATAGATTCAATTATCATCATCATTGTTATCATGAGTAGCCTTATACCAACTATTTGGCATCAGCTTTATAAGCCTCATTTTACATTTGTTCATGCAAAATGCTACCTGAGACTTAAACTTTTTCTTTGTAAGTTATTTTGAATATTAAACTTATCCTCGTGGCCTTAGATGATATGCCCCTTTAAGATCAATAAAAGTTATATAGAATTTTTTTTTCCTTGTTCTACTTTTTCACTACTTATCTTAACAACACATTTTCTTTCATAATAAATAATCTTTTTTGTATGAAACTAAATTTTTTTTTGAAATTAACATAGTTTTTTAAATTTAGATTTCATTATTCTCTCTTATAACCTCTTTGTGCGTTTCATAAGTTTGATCATATCTTGAGCATTCTCTTTATTCTTAAATAATGGTATCAATTTCCTTTTTTTCCACTCATTTGATATCGTCTCAATCTTCAAAATCTTATTGAAAAGCTTTATTAACTTAACCGATGTTGTATCTCCCATAAATATCCAATTTCTTAATGACTTTCTCTTTGAAATATCTTGCTTTAGCTTTTTCATGTCTCCTTTATCTTCTTTAATGGTAAGCCTATTAGTCAAATCATCAAAATATGTAAACTTTTGCTCTTCTCACTTCATTCTTTGCTAAACTTCGAACTTATAGTTTTTACAAACCTTATTGTCCCTTTTAAAAAACCATTTCTTGTCCTTAAAATAACTTTTTGAACATCTCTTTTGTGCCACCTTTCTTCTTATTATCTTAAAAATTAGAACGAGAAGTGATTATATTAGCAAATGGAAATTTTAATTATTTAATTTTGTTCTTTTGTTTTGTGGAAAAAAGATGAGAAGTTGCACATAAATTGGTGGAGAGAAAATAAATTAAAAAATATTCTTTAATTATAAAATTAAAATTAACTATGTAGCATGAAATTCTATTATTTATGGATTGCTGGATTAATTTATATGGAAAAATACTGTATATAGATTAGTGGATTGTTATTGATGGAAATATGCTATCCATGAATTATTGGGCTTATTGTAGACGCAACGATGTTACTCATAAATTTAAGATTATGCCAACACTCATGAGCTAGGTTATATATATATTGATCATGACTAACTTATTAATTAGGTTATCAAATCTCTTTATGAATAAAAAATTAGTGAGCATGTCTATAGTTTGAGAGTCTTTTGGAAGATAATTTTGCTGGACTAGTCCATTTCAATTTTTTTGAGATGAAAGATTGGTTCATCTCAACGTGTTTAATTCTTTGGTGATGAATATGATTTTTTATGCTTTACTTATAGTGTTTTGGCTGTTCACAGTACACTTTTTGAGATTTTCTTTGATGTAATAGTTTGATTTTTTTAAAAATCATTTTATTTGTATTTCATTACAAATATTAAGCTCCATTGCTTACATTTAACTTTGACACTGCTTCTTCATACCAAAAAAAAAAAAAAAAAAAAAAAAAAAAATTTTCTTATTTTTTTTATACTTTTCTATTCAATGAGGTTTCCCCATATGTAAGCATAATAGCCGGAGGTGGATCTTCAGTTTGATGCATCTCTGCCCAATCAACTTAAGTGATAATTTTGTTTCTTTTTATTGGATGATATTTTGATAATATTTCTTTCTAGTATCACTGTAGGATGCCCTAGAATATAGTTAATAGATTTCATATAGTCTTTAGTTGGATAGCTCATGTATAGTCTTTCATCCTTGATGAGAACTCAATGTCAGGATGAGTGAGAGAGAGGTAAATGAATTTGCCCACAAAGTGTTGATATCTACTTTTTTTAAGAACCAAATTATTATTGGTGATTCCAATTTTTTCATTGGTTTTGTTTAAGTTTTCGTTAGCTAACATCTTTGCATTCTTGTTTATTGAAGCAGATCAAGAATATAGTTTCTTTAGAAAATAATGATATCTTATTTTGGTTATGTTATTTTCGTTAAAAAGAAATTTTAATATTTTTTACTTCTATTTTTTTGCTAGAAACTCTTTTAGTATTTTTCTTATGATTAGAGTACCTTTTTTGTTTTAGAAGAGCGCTTGATAAAGAGTGTGATTAACTTGAGTGTAATCATATATTTTGGGAATTTGCCAAACTTGGCATGAGGGGGTTGTTTGAGGCTATAGCTTTTATAAGTTTGCATATATCTAATGTTTCAGTCTAGCGGCAATCTTCATGTATATTTTCTCCTTATGATCCCCATTAAGAGAAGTATTTCCAATCCAAATTTATCACAAGAGAGCAGAACTCGAATTTTGTTTTGGTAATGGGAGAGAAAATTTCTTGATAGTAAATACTATATTGATTAGTTGTACGTTGTAATAATTCTGGCGTTAAATTTATCTATGCTTCCATCTACTTAATATTTGATTATAGAGATTCATTTACGTGCAAATTGTTTTTTCTTTTGGAAAAGTTTAGAAATTGCCTATGTAAGTTTTGGATTTCTTTCGTTATGAATTTCTTCCACTTGCTTTTGAGAACATTGTTTGAAATTATTTTTTTACAAAGATAATTGATAAAAGCATGAATCCAAATGAAAGCCTTTTATACATGATGAAATCATAAATTAGGTGTTTGATGCATGATCTCACCTTTTTCCTTAGTAGGATAGTGTTGTCATCTATGGATTTATTTTCACTAGTTTGTACTTTATTAAAGATATATTTATTAGAAGTTATATTAGGAAATAATTTATTCCTCTTAGAAGTTATGAGGATTAGATTTATTTCCTTATATTGAATTTATTTCATTCCTATTTTTTGCATTTCTATTTTGTGCTTTCTTATTTTTTGTTAATTATTTTATCTCCAAGTAATTACTTGGAATTGATTAATATGAGATATAAGTGTTTTATGTTTCCTTTCATGTTATTTTTTTTTCTTGTTTTTGCTATTCTTGGATTCATGTAAGAGTGTTTATATCCCATTTTCATATCAATAAAATAATTTTCTGATGAATTCTAAAAATCAATAATATGTGATTGTTTTTTTTCTTTTTTCGCTTAGTATAGACAAAAAGCTTATTTTGCATAGATTGAGTGTATTGACAAGATGATGATATGAACCGACACAGATTTCCACACATAAATTAGGGAAATTAATATTTTATCTCAAGCTCATCAAACACTCATGACAAATACAAAGATAAGCACCAATAATTCGAGAGGTGGGCGATCTTTCCCAATTCTTATAATTGGAGGTAGGAAATCTCTCATAAACCCTAACCTTAATATACAAGACCCAATCTCTTGCATAAACCCAACCCTAAACATATTATTCATGTTTATATTAAATGATAATGAATGACAAAAGACAAAATTGCCCTTAGCACACAAAAGACAAAATTGCTCTTAGGCTAGGCACCAACGTAATAATACTCCCCTCCCATAAGACACCTTATTCTCGAGGTGGAAAAAAGTGAGGATGTTTCTCCTCTACCACATCCGTCTGTTTCTTCATCTTTTGCCTCATTGTCACACACTGTGAGAACCTGTAATGTTCGATTCTTGCAACGATGTCTTGCAAAAAACTTCTCATCACATCGAAAACATAATCCTTTTGGCTCTCCTGAACCTTTATCTCTGTAATACGTTTGAGTGTCTCCCTCGATTGTGGCCCTGTATTCCTGTCCTGTGGAGCCTTTTTAGCTCCGAACTTCCACTGTTTGAACTTTTTTTTATCATTATAGTTGTTGAAGTTCGGTATGGGTGCTCCACCAGTTCTACTCCTATTAGCCTGTTTCATTGCATTTTTATCTTCAATCATCTGTGCTAATTCCATAGTTTCTTCCAATTCTTGTCATCTCAGCAGGCAAAGTAATGCTCGAGTCACAGGCCTCAACTCTTTCATGAAGTTCCTTTCTAACACTTCTTTTGATATTCCTCTCAAATGACCAGATAACATTTCAAATTTCTCCCTATACTTCTTGATGGATCCTTTTTAGACCAATGTAAAGAGTTGTTCGTGTAAATTCCCTTCCTTTGTGGTTCAGAAGCGCTCCAACGATGAAACTTGAACTCTTCTCATATCCAGATTGGTTGACGTTGTTTCCTCTATTGATACCATGCTAGAGCCTTTCCTTCGAAACGTAAAGCCGCCGCCATAAAATTTTTTCTTACCATCAACCTATTAATA